TTTGTGACTCACCGCTGAATAAACCTGTTAACGCATTATTCCAGTAAATCCTGGTAATATTTACAAGCCCGAGGGCACCGATAAGGCAATTCATGTGATCAACAAGATATTTTACATATAATGATACATTTCACATAAACATGGGTGAGTGTAGATCGAAATCCTGATCCCCCTGATAAACACGTACCCTAGGCCCCCACCTCCTGTCCATGCTGGGGCCCCCTGAATGGATTTCCACTCCATTTACAGGGATATGTGGACAGTTACTATATATAATATTTACTTATCCCTCATGAATCTTACAATTTTATTTTCAAAATATTATTCACTGATACAGTCATTTGTTCATTTATAGTAGGCTACATCCATTTATATAACAGGTCTAAATGGCAACATCAGATGTTCACAATACATCAAATATCAAATATATGGCTGAAGAACAAATTTAATAATATAATTATTTTGTTATTTCAACAGTTTATCCCGGGCCAGTTCACAAACGGTTAGTGCTATGCCTTGTAAGGCTTTTAGCAAAGTATTCCGCAAAAAAGCACTTACTTTCTATCGCCAAGTGGCGCTGGCATTTTTATCATTTCCAGAAATAATATAAAAAACATGAACACAGACGTATGAACTCCAAGTCTTTCCTGCCCTGTATCAGAAACGCCTGCTGTAAAGTCACACTCAGCTCAAAGGTAAACTACTAAAACGAGTCGAAGAAACACTGTAATTCAGAAAAGAATGAACTTTCCCACCTGTGATGAATCCATGAATATACTCATCCTGAACTTCCCCCGTCGTATCTCCATTTCCAGGGCAGACCCCCTCGCCACTGTAGCCCTTGTGGTCTGATTTCGGCAAAACATGGCTTTGTCGCTTGAGTCAATAAAACGTGCAAAGGTGTAACAGATATATAACCAACCAGCTTTCCTGAAGATTAATGAAGTACGTATTCCCGATACCGACCAAGTCGTCACTAATGTCAGTATTCCATACTGGAAAGAAGAACTAATTATTTCCGCCTGTAATCCGCAAACAGCACCACTTTCACTAGGAAAGTACGATCTCCCTCCGCACCCCTCGCATGGCTGCCACTAACATCCCAGGTGATCAGCTTCCCATCTGCTCGCCAAATGCACTTATGACCCCTATTGGTGAAACAGCAGTGCGTCTACTGTATGTAATGGTTCAATAATCTCAATAAACCCGAGGTTAATACTAATTCTGGAGTGTTACATAAATCACATAATTTAGCGAACCTAAGTAACCATTACATGTTGCTCGTTTACATAACATTTTACTGATATTTGTCACTTTAGTGACTTAGGTCACCTGTTGCTGGAAACGACAATAAAAAGAAAGTTTTGAAAACCGCCCCGCCCCCATCCAAATAGGAGTGAGATACCCTGTGAAATGGTTAGCATTCAAATATTATGGGCACTAATCCATTTCCACGCGTAGAAGACACTGTAATCCAGAAGGAGTACTCCCTCGAAAGTGTTTAAAGTATTACAGTGGTACCTCAGTTCTCGAACTCATTAGTCGAACCAACCAGTTCGAAAAAAAAAACCAAGAGCTCGATCTGAATCTTAGAAGTCAAACCGTGAACGCTGACCTAACTTGTACGCGCGGGGAAATGAATCACGCAGCACGTTTCTCAGCGGAAACAAAGGGTAAAGCTTCAGTCTCAGCCTTGCATTAGCTGTGATAGCATCGTGCATATGTTTACACTATAGCTGAATACATATATTTAGACAGTAAAAATACATTTAGACAATGATAGTACTTATTTTTAAAATGTATTTTAGTATATAATAATAATAATTACTTAGTAACGGATTAAATTTGAGTTCTGAGGTACCACTATATTTATGAAAATTGAATTTCATGAGACTATATTTTCTTTGCGGATGCATTGCGCTCCAGAGTCGTAGAAAAAACATATTCCTTGCAATGTAATAAGAGAATGAATGTAAAATACGAAAACCCCTTGACATTTTTGTCTATTTATCTATTTATTTATTGAAAAGAAACCCTCAGCGACAAGTCCGTGAATAAATGTCAATTGCAACCTTGCTGCAGCAAAAACAGAAACAAGAACCTCAATTTAGCAGATCCTCAAAATATTTCTTCCACTGCCTGAATAAGGTCAACGGCTCTCCATACCTGCTGTAAATAGCATTGGTGAAGCACTGCATGCCCCTCCTCAGTCACCTGACAGTTTGCCAGAACCTTTTCAAGGGTAACTGAAAGTCCTTCTCCATAGCCTCACCAAACTCCTCCCACACCCGAGTTTTTGCTTCAGCAGCCGCCAAAGCCACTTCTTGTTTAGCCTGCCAGTACCTGCTGCTTCCGATTCCATGTCCCCCGATTCCCTTGGAAGAGCAGAGAAGTTCTGCCGGAGCTGCGAGTTGAAGATCAGTGGATGATCAGTTGACAGCTCCGCTCCTCTCTTCACCCAAGTGACCAAAATATATGGGCGCAGATCTTCCGATATGATTACAAAATTGATCATACGACCTTGGGTGTGCTGGTGCCAGGTGCACTTGATGTTTGGTGTGAACAAACTTCGATTAGCACAGAAGTCCAATAACAGATCACCACTCGGATTACAATCAGACAGGCCATTCCCCAACCCCAATCACACCCTTCCAGGTTTCTTTGTCATTACCCACATGAGCATTAAAGTCCCCCATCAGAATAATGGAGTGCATTGAGGTGAGCACGACTATATCTAGTCAGTATCTCTCTACCTCCTGCACCAGCTCAGGCTCCTTTCCCACCAGAGGTTACATTCCTTGTACCTAGAGCTAGTTTGGTAGCTGATGGTCAGTCCACCAAGACCCCTGCCTTTGACTGCCACCCAATCTACATTGCAGCCGACCCCCGTGGTTCCCCCTGCAGGTGGTGGGACCACAGGAAGGAAAGTTGGAAGAGATTTCCATATTTCTCCATCGACAGTCCATAATATCAGTGAATGATTAAAGTAATCGTGAGGAGTTTCAGTGGAAAGAGGGCGAGAGTGCAAGCTTAAGCTGAACACCCATGATCTCCAATGCCTCAGACAGCACTGCATCAAGAACCATCATTCATCAATAGCTCGCATAACCACATGGGCACGGGATTACTTTAGCTAATCTTTGTCAAGTACTACAATTCAAGTTTCTGGGATGCCACATCAGTGATGACTTCACATGTACAAGCAACTCCGCTGCTCTGGTCAAGAAGGCTCAGCAGCAGCTATACCTCTTAAGGACACTTAGGAGGACCAAACTGGCTGCGGAGCTGCTTGTGTCCTTCTATTGCTGCTCTGTTGAGAGTGTTTTGACATACTGTATTACAGCTTGGTATGCCAACTGCACAGCGGCAGACAGGCAAGCAATACACAGAGTCAGCAACACAGCCCAAGATACCATAGAACTTCCTCTGCCCTCACTGGAGGACATCTTCAGGACACACTGCCTCTGCAGAGTCAGCAACATCCTAAGAGACACAACTCACACCTGCCATCACTTCTTCTCCCTGCTACCATCTGGGAAACACTACAAGACCCTAAAGCCCCACACTAACAGGCTGAAAAAGTATTTTTTCCAGAGCTGTCACTGAACTGAACTCCAGTCAGATTAAAACTAACAAGACATACTTGGTTCAATGACTGTGTAATACTAGGAAAACTGGGCAATACTTAATAACTAATATTAGAACAACTTGGGTGGCATGGTGGTGCAGTGGTTAGCACTGTTGCCTCACAGCTCTGGGATTATGGTTGAAGTCTCTGCCAGGGTGTGGAGTGTATGGAGCTTATATGTTCCCTCCATGTCATCATGGGGTTTTCCCTCACAGTCCAGAAATATGCCGAGGCTAATTGGAGTTGCCAAATTTGTGGTTATATAGGACAAGCAGTTTCAGAAAATGGATGGATATTATGAAATCTATGATTGCTGTGAAATAACAATGCAAATCTATTGATTTAAATTTACAGAGGACGTTCTTTTTTATGTTGTAATGACTAGATATATGCACATTCTAGGGACTGCTCTGCTAATTTCGCTGTGCAAGAAAATGTGCAATGACACATTCTATTCTATTCTATTCTATCCAGAGTTACATTCACAAATGCCACTTAAGGTTTCTTTTTTGCACAGTAAAGTTATGTTAACCTTGTCCAGAAGCAGCGTCGACTTCCCCGGGCTCAGAGGCATCTGGGATGGACCATCACACAGTGGAAACATGTATTGGGGTCAGATGCATTTTTTTTCCCTTTAATTTTCCATATCCATTATCACCTGGAGTGATTTCAGTTGCCAGCCAAAGCTCCTAGCATTTGGGATCACAGCCCAACTGTGCATGTTTGGCCTGCATTGCAGGATCAGAAAATTTCTTGTGCCAAAGTCAAGTAGAAAAATTTCAGTCTGTGTATAATAATAATAGTCAATAATGCATCAAAACTGCATTGTTAAAATAAAAGTAATCGTACTAGCACTTATTAAACAAGAAATTTACAGAGTGGTAAAGATCACTTCAAAGAAAAGATTAAAACGAGATTTTCACTGCAGTACTCTATGTGATAACACCTAAACAGGAAATGAAACCTACCCATTAGTGATCCTTATTTAATATACCTGGCATACATCCTAGCTGCTCAACTTCTGAATTATGTAACAACCCTCCTTTATTAACCTTTTCATTCAACGTAATCTACATACATACCCATTTAAGAGTTACTGAAATTAATCAGGCAACATATTATAACAAACTGCTGCAATAAAGCAATTTCCATTGTTCAAGTTTCACCTTATACTCAAACCTGATTTTTTTTTAGCACCCATTCATCCATAAACCACAGCACAGGGAAAGAGGCAGAGGACACTGGATGTAAAGCCAGTCACGTGGAAAATTCAAATTTCACAAATGGAACCTGAATTTACATGTGGTTTACATATAAACTGAAAATGAAACTGTAGAAACAAACAAATAAAGCAGCAACCTAAAAGTCAAAATTTAGTTTTAACTCCAAAATTTTTATTGGCAATTTACATAAATTACATCTTAGGTACTAAGCAAATAAAATGAAACAAATATATATTTGATCTGAAATGTTCAAAACCTTGCTTTCACATTTGTGTCCAGTCACGTTCCTCCAAATGTCTAAGATGAAATTACTCAAATCTTACACGCAAATGAAAAACTTAGGAAGTTAAGAAATTATAAGAACCTTAATACCATGTTGAAGGGCTTTTCAGATATATCTTGAGGGGTCATCCCATCTTTTCTAGTTTTAAAGTATAATACATTCATAACATTATAGCAGGACATATAAAAGTTACAATTATACGACAACTGGAATAAAATTAAACAGATGTGTAAAAAAAGACAATACAACCTGTCACTAGCAGTAGAAAAATAAATACTGGATACACGGGGTAGGCTAAAATGTTATCTTTGATGTTTGCTATTTATACGTTTACTTTTTCTCTCCATTAAAGCATAATCTAAAAGCTTAATCCTAGGCAGCTTTAAAATTTGGAAATTTGCCTCCAACATACCCTTATAGTAAGCAATGCACTGAATCTCTAATATGTTCTGGACAGAATCTAGCACATAACTTACATTTTAATTAGAAGACACTTTTCTCCAAAGCAACGTGCAATTCAAAGTCCCTAGAGAAATTGGGGCCTGGCTCAAAGGTCCAACGGTGAAATCTTGGCTGACTAAAGGATGTGAACCAGCGACCTAACAATCAGTCACAGTATACTAATCCACTGAGCCACAGAGCACTCCCCGAAGATACTTTGCTGTACACTTGAGGTGTATGGTATGAATGCATTCCGGATCTATCACAACTATGAAATTGCTCTGAAACATCACATAAGAAACCTTCACAGCAGACAGGAAATGTTACGCCAGTTAAGACAAGTGTCTAAGACTGTACATAAAACGCACAATAAAACAAGAAGCATGCTCCATAATCCTTCGAGAGAATAAAAAACTTAAAATATAAATGTAACACAATTTTCAGTGGTCAATATTTGGCCTTTAGAAAGCATGCTTGATATCCTGGCTCAGTGTATAAGTGGGTAAGTTATGGATAAGTTGACGTTAGCTTTGTTTACTAGTGTTTATAGTTATCACTCGCTCTCATTTGCTGCTAAATGATACAGCTAGATCAATAAGGTCATCCACCGGTGCTAAATCTGCTGGATCAAAATGCAACTTTAAGGTATCAGGACATAAATTTTGTTCTAAACATTGTAATACTTTTCATAATTTCAGTAATGTTGCCAGCTTATATGCAATTGTTTAGATGAGATGACCAAAGGCCATAACATTGCAAAAATTAGTAAATTTAGCAATTGTCAATTAAAATTACATTTAAGGTCAAAATACTGATAGTTTCCGACTTATTTTATATTGCCAGCACTTCTGATAAAATGTTATATTAGCTTAAACAGACACGCCTGTGCACAAATGTTCAAATGGGAAACAGTTTAACGTGAAATGCCATGACATATGCAAGATGACGAGCCAAGTCCAGGGATGCTACTGTCAGAGAGATGATACGCCCAACTATCTTCTCAGTGTGGCTTAGGAGCACCGTGTCCTCAGTCTGGCTCCTCGACCTCTGTGAAGATGTCCCCGAAGAAGTATTCTGACACATTGGTGGGTTTTTTATACTCAGTCTTATCAGAGGGGTTGACACAGAGGAAGTCACCTTCTGTCGATTTTGATACTTCTGGAGGTTCCATCTGGATGGAAAAATAAGCTATACGTGAAAAAAGTATACCTGGATTATCCAATACAGTTTATTATTTAAAAACCTTTTTGATTTGGGGTGTTAGCTATAGAGGATATACAAAGTAAGCTTCTGAAAGTTAAGGCTGCCTGACATAAGGAGTTAAGCTGCAGGAAAGCTCCTTCTCAGGTTACCTTATGTGCCGATACACTTGGAGATGTGATGGTGTCAGGGGTGGAGTGGCGGGTGTTAATGGCGGGGGGGGGTTCTCTTGGACATCCCATGGCTGCCTGCAGGGAGGCTTTTCTTCTTTCTATACATGAAGTGTTGACATGAGGTGCAGGTCTGGAAGTCCTTGAAGTACCAGCAGGGCCAGTGGTGGTCTTGTTGGTCATAAACGAGAGGAATCCTTTGGGCTTTCTTCCAGGCCTTCAAGAACAAAACCGAGAAATTTTCATTTAAAGCTTCCGTCTTCCAGTACAGATCTGTAGCACATCTAGTGATGCACAGGACACAGCCAGCTAAGATAAAGCATCATCAATGTAAGAAAAGAAAGCACATTGAATGACAACCAAATAAATTATTAAATGAAATATTTTAAAATGGCAAAACAGTTAAATTAGGACCATATTTTTGTAGAAGACATATCAGACTCCAAATTAACCTAATAAGGGGCTTATCCAAGGGCAGAGGTGACACATGATGCTGAGGTTCCATCTCGCCACCGCAGCCAAGAGGAGTGTCCCGGTCCCGAGGCAGAGCGTCACCAAGCCCCCCTCCGTGCTTGGCTGGGGGGTTGTGCTGGTCACCAGCACTGGGCACTGCAAGGTCATCTTCCTTGGGAAAGGCTAGGATCTGAGGAGGCATCTCAGATTCTTCACTGGCATCTTTAGTGGGCTCTACCGACGTCCTTTTCAAAGAGCCAGGTTTCACTTTGGGTTTTCCTAAATTGACAAAAGTCGACAAATCCACAGTTCAGTATTTACCATCCATTTCAGATGTTACATTTTTTTTGTCTGCATTTGGTCAGTGTAATTTTCCATGAGTGTCTGCATTTGCTTAACATAAGGCAAGGCTTGAGTGTAACATTTGCCATAGTTTCCCCATCTACCTTTTTTGGACTTGATGGGCATTTTCTTCTTTTTCTGAGGGGGGGCATCATCATCCTCCTCAGGAGCCTCATTCAAATCCTCCACTGGCACCAAAGAAAGGCTGACATTCTCCTCTTCTTCTACACAATGTAACATTACTGTATTTTAACTCATCTAATGAGAAAAACCTTACTACTACAAACCTCCACTACTATCTGGATGTGTGAGACATGAGGTAACTGCAAATTTCAGAGAAATGTAAGCATGCCCCCACATTTTCCAAGACAAACTGCTTCAAAATGGGTGTCCCTCCACCCATTTTAAAATTACACTCCTGACTATGAATAAAGTTGTGTTAAAATATTTTATAAATCAAACAATAAACCACAATAAATATAAGATGGTTCTCTGTTACACTGCATATCTTACATTATGTCAAAGGGAACACAACACCATAGGAAGTCTTACCATCTGTCTTGTCTAGACTTCTGGACTCCTACAAAAAAAGACATCAAGATTTATTAAACATTTAGAACTAAAGAAGTGGTATTAATCTAATACAAACCTTTTCATACATTGTGGGGGTGGAAGGGCACAGACACTTACTGTGAGAACTGCAGAAGATGAATGCTTTTCATGTATAGTGCTACAATGGCTCAAGTGATGCAACGGCTCGCTGACCATGAAGTGAGAAAGCGTGCTGCCAGCCCCAGGCACCTCTGCATCAGCCATAGCCACGGCCTCACTGCTGGACAAGGACAACCGTGTTAAAGGGGACAATCTCCCAGGCAATGTACCAAGTAGGTGAGAATCAGCAACTGGCCCGGAGCTGTAACACATGGATAATCATTATATAGTATGTGAGGACTAAACATTATATGCATAAATGTAACATTTTTGTCATTTATATACAGTGGTACCTCAGTTCTCGAACTTATTATAACTCGAATTTCTTAAAAGTCGAACCAACCCGTTTGAAATTTTTTTTACCTAGAACTCGTTCTGAATCTCAGAAGTCAAACCGTGAACGCCGACCTAACTTGTACTGTACGAGCTTGTGTGACTGTTTTGATAAATGTGCTTAGATGTGTTTAGTACAGTACTGTATATGCTCTTCTTGTTTTATCCGGTTCATTTTGTGTTTAAATGCTAAAAAAAAACCATATTTCGGTGTAATTTTTTGGGGCCGGGAACCAATTAATTGGTTTTCCATTATTTCTTATGGGGAAAATTCGATCAGAACTCAAACTTTTTAGGATTCGATCCGGAGTTCTGAACGGATTAAGTTTGAGTTCTGAGGTACCACTGTATTTCATTATTTAATGAAGAACATTAACCAAAATTGATTATGCATACCATCTCAAGGCTCTTTTTATGCTTTCGATCTGTAATCAGTTCCTTAATCGCTACTTCAGCTGTTTTTTTTAAACCCACTGCTTGCTTAACATTACTGCTGCTACTCACGTTACATAAAACAGGCATTTCCTACAACATTGCATGGAGGCTGCCTTTCTGGGACGTCCCTTACCTTTGTGGTTCAGACTGTGCATCTATAAACACCAGCGGCGAGAGCAGCTCAGCAGTGACAGCACCCACTGGGGCAGAACCTGACTTATACTCATTGACAGAGGTCGGAGGGATTTCAAACAGGGTCAGGATAATAGTGGGTTCACTGTGAGTGAAGTCGTCTTCCCCTGAGACTCCTGCAATACAGCCCAATACAGAATTTTCCATAGGCAGAGCTTTCAGAGGTTGCTATGGCGTCACGGATCAAAATTGATTCTTGTGAGTAAATACCTTCAGTAGAGTCACCTATGTTAACAAATGTGAAGCCGTCTCCACTGTGCAAACTCATAGCTTGTTCCTAAACGGAAACAGACAAACCAGTGAGCCACACTACAGTATGTTTTCACATGTATCAATATAGGGTTATTATTGTACTACAATTAGTGTTGGGGTATATCTCCAGGTGTGTGGAGTTTAAGTC